AGCTGTATGGAGAACATGGGTACCATAATAAATTCACACAACAAGAAAATACTAAATCCCGGACAACCTGATCCTGTAAACGGCAATTGCAACTGCAGACAGAAAAATGAGTGCCCGCTGGATGGAAAAGGCCTCACCCAGAACGTGGTCTACAAAGCCGAAATCACAACTCAAAACGACACGAAACAGTACATTGGATTAACGGAGAACACCTTCAAATGCAGATACACCACACACAAGCACTCCTTTAATCATCGCAAGCATCAGAACAGCACGAGACTGTCAAAATATATATGGGAACTGAAAGAAAGCAACACCCCCTTTACCATTAAATGGAACATAATAAAACGAGCACCCCCATATAACAATATCACTAAACGCTGCAACCTATGCCTAACAGAAAAGTATTACATCATCGCATCCGACAGTAACAAAACATTAAACAAACGATCAGAGTTGATCTCCGCCTGTCGTCACCGCAACAAATACTTGCTCAAGAACTGTTAATTTCCACGCCCACTTTCTACAAACCTCACGCCCATCACTTATAATATACCTGTTCCTAATGAAAACATTTTCTCATATAGGCCTATATGTATATATATACATATATAAATAATAATAATAATAATAATAATAATAATAATAATAATAATAATAATAATAACAACAACAACTTTGGAAGATCCAGAATCGATGATCATGTTGTTACAGTTTATAAACAGATTGGTTTGCAATCCTATACGTTAATGACATCGGTTTTGCATTGTGATCGTTTGTTTTTGAAATAAGCGTAATATAATACAGGGAAAAACATTGTTATAAGCGAAAAACATTGTTATAAAGTTTTTATTCAATTCATATATTTATTTATTGCATCAAGTAAACTCCAATGACGTCTACCAAATAAACTAATAATATACATACCATATAGTTTACAATTTTACGAATAAAGTATCTTTATGAATTACATAGTCAATTATTAGTTAGGGCAAAACCAAGGAAAACTGCCTTTTTACGGTTTGTCAAGGTTTTATAACCCTGACCCCATACTATTTGAAATTAGCTTGGGGCCACCCAGAGAACTGACATTTTGACATTATTGCATTTTTTAGGCACTTTCATCAGTGATCAAGGTAACGGTAGCCTACACTTTTTATGTATTCGACATCGAATCCTAGACCTTAGGTGATTTAAAAGATTTCCTTATACGAAGAGAGTATAGCTAACGACAGACAACAGTATTAATGAAACAATATAATAAAAATAAGCGAGTATTAAAAAAAGTTAAATGTGTAAATATCATTGGACAAGATCTGACAAGTGTCCAAAGCCAGTAGCGGATACAGGTGCTGGAGTGGACTTGTGTATGAACGCAAAGATAATAAATAGAAGTGTTCACGGCAGAGCAATTTTCCCCGTCCGCCCGGCGGCGGTATATATCAATAATATAGGCACCGCTTATGTTCGATTGTTTCATGTAGTTTCTCCACTTCGTCAAATTTTACCTCACTCGCGGGAGGGCGGGTGTTCTATCAATTTTAATGCAAATACGCCAGAACAGCTCATTCTTCTGCTATTTAAGTTCTTTGATAAACGTTCAGGTTGTCGTTTAAAAATAGCGCGTGTAGTAAATGCATGTTTTTGTTCTATATTACGCATAAACTATCATGATGTATGAATATATTAAATATGGTGATGCTGTAAAATTATTAACAAAAATATTATTTATTTCATAAAATTAATATAAAATAAATTTATTTAATAATAATAATAATAATAATAATAATAATAATAATAAAGATTTATAATGCGCACATCTCCACCAATGGTGCTCAAAGCGCACTGCTAAATTTCACCATATAAAAAAGATCAAAAATAATTCCCAAACAAAATTCCATGCAGATTTACTGCTTAATGTTGGAATTGAGGTGAGCATTGATACGCTTTGTACTTCTCGCCTCTTTTTTTCTCCACCAAACATGTTCAACAAAATTATTTCATTACTAGAATAAAATCAACGTTCAACATTTCAAAGTTTTATTTCACAAACGTATCCAACTTCGAATGAAAGACAGCTTGCATCCACTTCTTTCTCTACCAGGTTCACAACAACACAATTGCCTCCTCCTCTGTCAGTGTCATCCTCTAAAGAATATTCATGGATATCGACCATACTTCCATTGTTGTAATAGTAGGTCGATCCGACATAGTTCCAATCCAAGTAGACAAAATATATCCAAGATTTAAATTTATCTAGTATGGCAAATTCATTCGGAGATGTCACGGAGAAATAAGATGCAACCTTTGTGCCAATGGTGTACTTCTCGCACATCGTACTGTCTAGATTTTCTCTTACAACCAACCCGGTTTTGATTACCTTGATGCATCGGTTTCCGGGAATGGTGTACCAGGTAGATGGGCAACTGCTGTCACACACCACAATCAAAAGCAGCAAAATCATGAATTTTACCTTTGAAGAACAAATAAATGACTTGTAATTTAAGTAACTTAATACCCACCAATATGTTGTATTATGTTACTTTCTATATTAGCATAAATTATGTCTATGTTACATAATTTGCATATATTTGTTATGTTATGCCTTTGTATACTTGAAATTGACCTTTTGACATTTATTTCTTTCAAAACAATTATAATCAAGTTTCAAAAGTATCAAGAAAAAGGCAAATGCCAGTTTGATGACTCCAAAATGACACTTGTGTCGGGCAAGCCTAATCATACTTAAACCAATTAAATATTATAGTTAAACAATGAAACAGATACAAAAACAAAAGAAAACCCCCAAAAACAACAAACAATTTAACATCAAAGGATAAGCAACAATCAGGAAGCATAATAACAGAAATTATATAGTTAAGATAAAGAGAAATAATTTGAGAAGATATATTATTTACTTTTTTTGAAAAAAACCATTTCCATGAGTGTAAATGTCATTTGGAAGTTAATTAAATAGTATTGTACCACTATAACGAATATTATGTTGCATTTGAATAAGTTTGGGTTGCGGATGCTGAAGATCACGGGAAGCCCTAGTATTGTAAAAATGGATTTTAGAATTTGTTAAAAAGCTACAAGACAGGTTTAAAGGAGTTTATTATTAATTTATTTTTTTTAAATACATTGCTGGAGTTTGTTGTTAGAGATAATGCAAACAGCTTTTTGTTTAAGAAGATATATTTTTTTAAGATTAAAAGGATAATTGTTTGCCCATACGATATTACAAAAACTAATAAATAGAAGAATGTGAGAGCAATAAATATTGCGAAGAATGTAGGAAGGTAAAAAAGAAGAGAGTCCATACAAAATACCAATGTTGTTTTTGAAATTTTGATTTCAATTTGTTTTATATAGGTTTTAAAGTTTAACAAGAGGTATTATTTGGTCTTCAATAAGTATATTGGGTGTTTCCCTTTTTTGGTGACGAAGTACAAACAGCATGAAATTTCATTTGTTAATTTTAAAAGAAAGTTTTTTAACAATAAAGTAATCGTGTATATTCTTTAATTCTTGGTTAAATGTGCTTAAAATAGATCTGAAACTAACGTTGGAATAGAAAATGGTAGTATTGTTTGTCTGCATAACGATAAAAGTAAGAATCGTAGAGGCATTTGGAAAATCATTGATATAGAGTAAAATTAATAGGGGACCAATGATAGACCATTGAGGCTGGTAATGGATTTAAAATCAGAAATACAATTTAATTTTTTGTGCATTTGAGCCTAATTTGAAAAGTAATTATTAAAGAGATTAAAAAAAAAACACCACGGATTCCATGATTATTAAGTGTTGAAAATAAAAGTGAGTGATCTATAGTATAAAAATCCTTTGATAAGTCAAAAAAGACTGTCCAGATGCAAAGGAATTGTTTTGAATTGTATCCGTAATCTTGTTAGTAAGGTCAATTAAAGCAGAAGTTGAATAATGTTTTCTAAAACCAAATTGTTATACAAAATATTAAATTTATTTATGAACTCATAATTAAGGTCATAAATAAGTTTTTTAAGGATCTTTGAAGAATAACACGTTATATCGTCATTGCGGACATATAAAATCCGCATACGCCTTCTGAATGGAAATTGAACGATAATAATTAAGGTTAGACCATTTTAAAAAATAGGTATTACTTTTGCTATTTTCAGGCTGTCGGGAAAAACACTAGTAAAAAAGATAAATTAAAGATATGAGTATGTGGAAAAAGAATAAGGTCAATAGATTGATTTACAGCATTCCCACAGATGTCATCAATGCCAGGAGCCTTGTTGTTTTAATGGATCTGACAATAGACCTTTCCGGAGTGTCAATCAAACTTAACAGCTGACTAATCAGAACAGCGCTAGGGATACGCGAGTTTCTCACAAACACACGTGTCCCACAAACGCACGTGTTCTCGTATGATTTAACGCTGTCGTCTTGTAGGACCTTAGCAACAATATCCAAGGGGCGGGGCTTAGCGGAAAGGTCCATTGTATAAACTTCTTGGATTAGGAGGATCCGTGTAATCACGAAAGGTTTTAGATGTATTTATTATGGATTTTGTTAGCAAGTTTAGGATCAATATTTTTGAAATATTTGTTTAACGAATGTTCAACTATGTAGGGGTCTTTTATTAATTTCAATTCCAGATGTATTGTTATTGCTTGATGGTTTAAGGAGGAAATAGATAAAACGCCAAGCACCTTTAATATTGAATTTAAATTTGTCAAACGAATTTGTGTAGTACAGTATTTTCTTTAGCAATTTTAAGGAGACCCATCATTTTAAGGGTTTTCTAGTAGCAAATCGCATATTTCTTTTTAACATTAACAGAAAAATGTACCCTCAAATACTCGTTTACCAATCATTAATCCTTAAATGTACAAAATGGCGCCGAAATTGACCTTTTGACTTTAAATAATTGACCCTTGACCCTTAATTCTAAGGGTTTTCTGGGTAGCTTAACGTTATTATTCAACATTGACAGAAACACCTACCAAAATATAGACGTTTGAGAAGTTATTAAACCTTAAATGTATAAAAAAAAATAGCGGCCATTGTGAATTCAAGATGTCCGAAAATGTCCTAACGTTGTTTTTTCATACTTAGTGTGGTCCATATAACACATATATTTCAGCAATAAAACATTTTCTTGCAATTGGTTTAATAGAAAATGTAATTTCTTGCAGACTATTTTTTAGTTTTTATTCATCTAGGCCTAAATAATTTAAGTATCCAGGTATGACTTACGTATTCCATGATGGTGCGAAAAAATATCGGCTTATATATCTTCAGTTTGTATCCTGACAATTAATTATTATGTCGTTTTGATGTCCTAAGTTAAAGTGTCACTGTGTTTAATCTTAGTTCGTTTTATAGTTCACGTATACCTAATCAAAATAGTTTTTATTCATCTAGGCCTAAATAATTTAAGTATCCAGGTATGACTTACGTATTCCATGATGGTGCGAAAAAATATCGGCTTATATATCTTCAGTTTGTATCCTGACAATTAATTATTATGTCGTTTTGATGTCCTAAGTTAAAGTGTCACTGTGTTTAATCTTAGTTCGTTTTATAGTTCACGTATACCTAATCATGCATACATTATTAAAGTAATATCCAGAGGTGACGGAACTAGGGGGTGCTGTGTTATGGAGAGTAATGTGTGACCGGAAATGGTCTGCAGTCAGTTGGTTGTTACCATGCGCAAGTGATGTTGGAGTATATAGTACAGCAATTTGAAACTATTATGTAGGCCTAATGAATGAATAAAGTTCGGAGTTTGTCGGGTAGTGAAATGATTATTTCACATTTTAAGTGCTCCTTAAATTCATAAGTGTAAGCTAAATTACGGTGATTAATTAATTAATTATTTCGAATCCCTCTTTCCAAGAGGGGATGCAAATGCTTTGTGAAAATGAGTACGCCGCGGTACTCATTTTCACAAAGAAATACACACAACTGGTTAGCTAACAATTATGTCAATGTTACATGAACACCTGGGAAGGAAGGTGCAATCACGTTCAAAACGTCTGTACTGTATGGAGGAGGGGCTGCTGATGTACTGTGTTGCGGGGGACGATGAGGCATAAGACTAGGCCTAGGCCTAACTAAGACAGTGGAATTATATGTGATAGAAAGTACACTTTCGGAAGAAATAAATTAAAATAAGAAAAAAAAAAAATAATCTTGTATTAAGTATTAATTTGTACGCCTATTGTTTAAATTGCATATCAAATGTATACGCTAATTCGAAAACTAATTAGTACTGCACTACCATATAGAAAATAGTGTTCTATTTTCTCTATGGTACTACTTAATGTATTACAGTTTGCTATCAATTTTAGACAGAATATTTCCAGCGCGTAAAGCTGGTTTTCCACTAAGCGAATTTATTCGCGCGAATCAAAGCGTCAGTTCGCTTCCTGAGTTCTGATTGGTTGCGCATTTTTTCGCTAGTAAAAACTCTGATAGAAATGTGAATGCGCATGTGCATGAGCCACCGCTTTCCATTTGCGCGAATACATTCGCCAAGTGGAAAACAGGCTTAAAGAAGTAATACAAACAGAACTCAGGTTAGGCCTACACCGTTGCACATTGAAAAGTTTAAGGTTTTGAAACTGTTAATTCAATTATAGTAACGTCACACCGTAAGAATCTTAATACAAGAAGTCAAGAGGTTTATGTATTTAGTACTTTTATCGCCCGTAATTTGTAAATTCTAACATTGCAAAATATACACAGCAAACACAAAATGTTCTTATCAAGTTTCAATTCAATTAACATTTATTGCATTAAGTGAACTCTGATGATGTATAAATAATAATATAAATGCCATATTTTTGTCCAATTTTACAAAATATGTATTTTTTTTAATGCATTACACAGTTTAGGCCTATACAATAAGCATATTGCAGTTGAACATCCATGAGCGACCACTCTTCAGAAGAACAAATTTTTTTGTATATTTCTCATTAAGATTATTTTCAGCAACTATCTAGAATGCATATCACTTACGACGAAATATGCGTGTGAAATAAATTATGTTCCAAAAATACGTCAACTTAACTTTTGTTTTTATTGTCATAGCCTTCACCACTATATTAATTATGGAACAACGTGCATAGGCATATATATATATTTCAATTCATGTTCTTCAAGTCAACTATTGAACACTGTATATTTACCTTATATTATATATATATATATATATATATATATATATATATATATATATATATATATATATCAATATATATATATATAGGCCTATAGATATATATATAGGCCTATAGATACAAAGGTCAACATGGATATTTCCGATTATTTTTTATCTGAGCTAATTTAAATTTAAATAATAAGTATATATTTTGAGCAATTGACATAAAAATCAACTCACTGCAACCAATGTTTACCAATATATAAGAACCCTATTTCCAACATCTGCATTTCCGGTCATTTTTTGACTAAATGTTCACAACATGATTAGAGCAAATAGAAACATGAACGTTAAAAAAGGCTTGTACCAAAATTAACTCTCTACCGCGATGGGATGAGGAGATACAAGGGTTTGACGTTTGGCAATGGCGTCACGCTGAGGGGTTGCGGAGCGCCAACGCCCCGAGGTATTGTAGGAGCCCAGATATTGTAGTTTAAAAAAATTGACATCATGGATCTTTAACAAAGAGCTCGCCTTCAACTTAATATGTTTAGATATTATTTATTTTCTGATCTCTTTTATAATTAGGCCTACAGTATTATCAAGTAATTTTAAATTTATTTTGTTATGGTATCTCATGTATTCTTTAGATAATAAATCTGATAATTGTCAGCAAAAAATATAATATTGTTTCCCTTACTTGTTTTTCGATCAGATCAGATCAAACTAGCTGCATCAATATCATCAAGAACACACTGCCAGCTGCCACGCAGGCGGCTCATGTCAGTGGGATATGTTCGATCGTGGACGGCAGAAATATACATTCTCATGAAAAAATTGTTAGCATGTATGAAGCCCCCTCACCCCACAGTCAGCGCCAGGGCCCCACAAACTCCGTGACGCCACTGACGTTTGGCCCTGACATTTTGATCTTTCGCCAGATTTTAAAAATGTGTTGGTGTTAGTCTAAAAAAATGATTGTTTGATTCCAATCATGCTTGCATGAAATACTCACTTCATACCATCTAGCTTTTTCTACCCTCACTCACTCGCCACTGAGGAAGGACTATTGTTTTCCGAAAGCTCTGGTTCTATCTCTGGCTGTTTACTTTCGTTTACTTTTTAGCTGTTGCTTATCATTTTTGTATCTCTACTGAGATCCAGCCATTGTTTCTCATAGCATTGTTGTTTTTCAGTATTTTGCCTTTTAATCTATATATCATTTTCTACTGTTTGTATCATTTTGATCCAACTCTGCTGTAATTCTGGAGGGTACTGTGGACAATTTCAAATTTCTACGACGCTTGTCGGAAAAACGCGTCAGGTATCGTAACCATCTTATATTTATCTTGAACATCGTTCTAACAATTCGGCTCCTAAAGTACTACAATTTCTGTCAGGTCTGGTATTCCATTCGCAGATCGTGACTTCCATTCCCGCTGAAATGGCGTCCTTAACAAAAATGCATGTCGATTAAATGAGGTCCTAATTGGCAACTGCCGCAAACTCCTCAAAGACATCGAGACAATATCACTTCAACACAAGTGATCCAACCTTCGCACAATGTTTGGCTCTCACGTAAACCTAAAAGGTTCATTCGGCGCTTTAGTGATAATCCGTGCAACATCACGGATTCAGTTGTTCAAATTAACTGTCAGCTTTCCGAAGGAGAAACCAAACTTCTATCCCGAGGACTCAAATTTTGCCCAAAACCGAGGCAGGCTGACCCACAACAACTATCTTTGGATCTGGAAGCTTTCTTCCGACGTTTAAGATGCCGCGAATTTTTCGCCGATTCCGACGGCAACACCACGGATAACACGGGCAATGTTACCAAATTCAAACCTGAAAGTACCTGGAATCCCCTTAAGAATCGTTGCCCAGCATTAGAAACTTTCATTCAGGCCATTGAGGAGGACGTTAAAAACCACACTCCTAGTCCAGATTTCCGCGACAATCTCACAAAAAATGAGAGGCAGGCCATCGCCAATTTGCTTCAGCGTGATGATATTATCATCAAACCAGCTGATAAAGGATCTGTCACTGTCGTAATGGACATTAAATTCTATGATGAAGAGGAGTCCTTAAGACAACTAAACAATCCTCTTCACTATCGGAAGCTCACAGAGGACCCCACTCCGGAAATTTCTAAGGAAGTGGAAAAATCTGTATTAAAAATGTTTAAAAAAGGTTCCATCGATCCCAAAATTGGACCCCATCTCATCCAGGTCGAACCGGCACCAGGACGTTTCTATGTCCTACCCAAAATCCACAAAGCAGGCCATCCTGGCAGACCAATTATTTCGGGCAACGGTACTGCTACAGAAAAAATCTCTGAATATGTGGATGATTTATTGAGACCATATGTTGTTGCTCTCCCCTCGTACATTCAGGACTCCACGGACTTTATCCGCAAAATTTACCAAATTTCAAATTTACCTAATAATACTGTTCTGGCTACACTTGATGTTTCTTCATTGTATACTAATATCCCTCATGAAGAAGGTGTTAATGCGTGCATTTCAAATTACAAGCAAATTCGGGGAAAACCCCATCTAAATCACATCTCCGTCAACTTATGCTGATTCTGACCAATAATAACTTTGTTTTCGGCGACGGTCATTACCTTCAAATTTATGGCACAGCGATGGGCACCAAAATGGCTCCATCTTTTGCTAACTTATTTATGGGACAATTTGAGGTCAATTTCCTGTCCCTACAGCCCAAGAAACAAGATGTTTGGTTTTGCTACATTGATGATATCTTCATGATCTGGACCCATGGTGAAGATAGTTTGGATACGTTCCTATTGAACATTAATTCAGCTCATCCCACAATCAAATTCACTGCTAACAAATCCACAAGCAGTGTAGATTTTTTGGACATTACCGTGACCATGGAAAATGGTGCACTTAAAACTGATCTCTTCCGTAAACCCACGGATAAGCATATGTACCTGCTCCCTAAAAGCTGTCACCCCCCGCACTGTACAAAAAACATTCCGTACAGCCAAGCATTGCGCATGAGACGCATTTGTTCTTCGGATTTAGATTTTCAGAATCGAACAGAAGAACTATCCGGACATCTCCGGAATAGAAATTATCATCGAGGACCCATTGAAAATGCTATAAAAAAAAAAGCAAAGGACATACCTCGTGCTCAAACACT